ATAGATGAACAAGAAACAAAAAATAACTTCATAACTTGTCTGCTATTATCTCCTTCCCTAATTTTCCTTTGAAAAAAAAACACAGAAAAATGCTTTGCAAAAACAGCATCAAACAACACTAACGGTTGAATAACCTACTTTTAACCCCTCATAAACATAATGGTTGTACAGTATTCCATCATTTGACTAAATAATAATGTATCAAATAATACTCATTATTAGAAAACAACTTTGTATTCATTACTATCATTAATAACTGTGATGAATAACAGAGTAATACTTCTCCCACAAAGATGTCCACATTCTAATTCCCAGGATCTGTGACTATGTTACATTACATGGCAAAAGAGACTATGAAGATATGGTCAAGGATCTTCAGATGGAAAGATTACTCTGGATTATCTTGGTTGTTCCAATGTAATCAAGGGTGTATACAAAAGTGAGATGGAAGGTCAGAGTCAGAAAAGGTAATACAACAATTGAAACACGAAGAAAGAGCTTAGAGGATGCTATACTGATAGCTTTGAAGATAAAGGATGGGATCAGCAGCCAAGGAGTGCAGATGGCTTCTGGAAGGTAGAAAAGACAAGGAAATGGTTTCTCCCCTAGAGCCTCCTGGAGGAATGAAGCCTTGCCAACACCTTGACTTTAGCTCCGTGAGATCCATTTTGAATTTCTGACCTCCAAAATTTCAGGATAACTAATTTGTGTTGTTCTATGTTACTAAGTGTGTGACCATTTGTTATAGCTACAATAGAAAACTAACACATAAGACTTCTACATTAAGTAATTAATGTGGAAGATGACAGTGTAATACAGTAGAAGTGGCAGCGGCAGTAAATAGCCCAGAATGGATAAATCTGTATATTTTCTAGGAAGATATGATAGAATAGTCATTGAAGTGGTTCTTTGAGTTTTGACTTGAACAAGTAGATAGATAATAAAGACATGTATTAAATTGAGAGAATGGTAGAAGAAACACTGTGGACAAGGAAGAAGAAAGGGAAAATGTTTTATTTTGAAAGTGTTAAGTTTCAGATGCTGATTAGACAGTCAAGAGGGGGGATAATAAGTAAGCAACTGAATATATTCATATGAGGTTCAGCAGAAAAGACATGGAGATATAAATTTTACTTAGAATTTGTGAATCATCAGTTGTTAGATATCTGATATTTACAACTATGAGGCTAAATGAAGTGATTCCTTCATGCACTAAATATTTAATAACCATCTGCTTTTCTACAATGGGAAGTACAGCAGTGAACAAGACAAAACCATCCCTGCTCTCATTTTATTCCAGTGAAAAGAGATATGTAATAAAACCAAATGAATTTATAAAAATATAAGTCGGACTAAGTATTATCATGAAAATAAGATGGTGTGCGTCACAGTGCTATTTTAACTAAAGAAGTTGGAAAAGTTCTTGCACAGGAATTGACAAGACATACTAGAATTTAGGGGAGGGAGCATCCTTATACTGGGGACAGAGAAGTCTTTGTGAAGAAAGCGTTTAGCTGAAACTTGAATGACAGGTAAGCAGCCACACTCATTGTTGGACACTCTGTCTTCTTCCATCTGACTACGCACTTGGACAAACATATCACTATTTTTTTTGTATGCACAAAGTTTGGCACTGAGATATCTATTGTTATGAAGTATATTACAATATGTATGTCTTTAAAAATTATAAGCAATAGTATTTGCTGTTTATTGGGTTTCAAAGACCAAGAGAAATAAAAAGATTTTGTCACTCATTCCAATAGCTCACAATCTGTTTGAAAAGACTATATTAACACAGTGACTGAGAAGGTAAAAATTCCTCAAGCAGCATGACCTGTACTGCCACATTATATGCCACTATGCAAGGACACCCTCACAAAGTGAGGGAGAAGTGGTCTTACAGTAAGAAGATCAAATGCTTAAACCAGACCTTGCATGCAACAGGACTAGAGACCTGGGCAAGTAACTCAACTCCTGAGGCATAATTTCCTAATCTGCATGTGATAAGGCTAAATCAGGCACAAAGTGAAAATAAGATAATTATTTTAATAATAGTAAAAATAATACATATTAGGACAACATATTTTCATTGTTATTAGGAAAACATTAAAAACTCAAGTGCTGAAATACACTTTAGAAATAGAACATATATTAAAAATGTATATTATATAGCTTTGACTTACTGGAAATCTTAAGCATACAATCAATTCCTAGACAAGAATTCTTTCCCCTGAGAAAGATTTTTATTTTTTCCGACTCCAAAGGTCATCTTGAAGTTAGTGCTTTAAAGTTGTTTTCTTTGTTAACCAGAAAGTGGGCACGCCCTGGGTCTTTAAAGATGGGTGCTATAACTCTTTCAAGTTCTAATGCAGATTAGTGCAGCACAGAGCAGCCATAAAAAGGCCACAATGAGCAAATTGTAGCAAAAAGCAATAACAGTGATATATAAAATGGTCAATATAAACATAAATCAGACACCACAAAATGACATATTGACACAATTGTGTGGTCTACTCAACCAACTTCTGCCTTCCTCCAGGCATTTTTTCCCTCAAAAGATCCAAACTTCATTCTCAGAGGTTCTAAATCACAATGATTGCTCCGGGGAGCCTCTGGTTTCAGTTACCTTCATTTCTTGCTTCCATCATCCTTCAGCAGCACCCAGGACTGCCAATGAGCCCAAACAGATGCGCTCAGCGGTCCACCATCAACTGTACCATTCTTCTTCATTATTCACAGAACGTCTGCCATCCTCACTATGAGAATGGAATCTGCAGCTTCTTCCATTGGGAACTTCAACCCATTAACTCTGATCACTGTTCTAAAGGTCCCGATTTCTCTTTCTCCTCCTTACCCATCATTAAATCAACTCGTTCTCCCTGTTCTATATTGTCATATCTCTTTCCCTTGACCAAAAAGAATCTGCCAAACGCCATTCCATTAAAATTGTGTGTTTCAGTGCTCACATTCTTTTAACTGTGATTAATAGGTAATGTGCCAAAAACAATTATTCAATTTGGGTAAGTAATATAACCTCCCTGGGTCCCAATCTTCTCATCAGTAAAGTTGGGGTTGGGTGGGCTAAAATTAGTGGATTTTGATTTTTATGAAATAGTGAGATTCTTTCTTAAGATGCTATTGTGTACCAATGTACAGAACAAATCTCCCCAAATGGAGCACCAGCTGATCCAGGTTAGAATGGGATTCTGGAGCCCTGTTCCTGTGATGGGTTGTTACCTTTTCTTATGGTGGCTCCTCGGATATTTCTGACACACAAGACTCCAAGGAATACATGACATCATTGAACTAAGAGATCAGTAAGTCCCTTTCTAGCTCTAATATTCAGATTCTACTCAACACAGTTATATAGCAAGAAAGACTGAGTGGCAAGGAAACTATAATATTGTTTATTGCCAATGTTAGTTTTACTGAAATGCCACATATCTCATTCAATCCACCACCCCACCACCCCATAATGCTACCACAGTCACTTTTTACTGACTCAGAGACTCAGAGATTGTAACATATTTAACTTTATGTACTTGGAATAGGCTGGGATAGGACTCCAACCCTTGCTTTTTCCATTTTTGTCTATTGCTGCGAAACCACGCCATCTATTCCTCACCTAGTCCTCATCCAGTCATCATCACTGATCAATCATGTTCTTACATATTTTATTGTCAATGTGTTTAGTGTGTGACCCATGGTGGCTCTTTGTATTTACTTATCCCAGTGAAAAACAGAATAACAAGAAGGAGTAAATTTGTGTAGAGCACTAAAAAATAATAGCTTTGACTTAAGAAGAAAAATGGAAGAGATAGTATTGATAAATTTATAAAGTTAGCATTTTCCAAACCTAACACTTTTAAATGTCTTAGAAAATTGTGATAACCTGAAAATATTGTTTCAAAGGATATATATTCAGGTTCATAGAATACACTGAATTTCTAGCACTTAACACAAGCTTTCCAATGGGAAAATGTAAAGACAAGCAGATTTATTCCTATATAAACAGATGTATTCCAAGTCCTCAGAACACCTTGTATGCAAATCCAAATATCGCTTGATAATTACCAAAACAGTATAGTTGTGGAAGACATACTAGGGAAGTGAACTCAAAAACTTAAATACTGCCTTATCATTCTCCGTTTATCAGCTCATATCTTCCCTCAGATTCTGTGTTATCTTTGCTCTTTTTCCTCTGGCAGATGTTCAGGGGTGAATTATGCAATTTAGAATCCAAAATTCCACTTCATCCAGATGCCTAATTTGCTAACTATTCACTTGTCAAAAACACATGCTTACTATCTATTATATAATGACTACAACTCAGAACAGCTTCTGGTTTCCATTTCATGAATCAATACTGGGAATCTGACAAATGTCCCGGAAGGCATTTTTCAATGCACGTTTTCATGAGTTTTTATTAAATTTCATAAATGCTTCAAACATCTGGAAAGAGAAAAACTTTCCCCCAAAAGTTTTAAGCTTCAAAATCATTGTACATTTTTCTTTTCAAAATCTGTGGGCAAATTTGTGGAATAATAATAAAACTTCACTTAATCTTCATATTTTGTTGAAAGTTTAGCTCATCCTAAAAAGAGATGAGCAATACTCTCATCTCTTGAAAGAGAGATACTCTATCCTATACAGAAAATGTGAAGAAAGAAACAAGTTTACACAGCCTTCATAGTCACTGTTGAGTTTGTAAACTGGATTTGCATCTGCTGCTCCTGCCACAACAGTTGCCAACACCCCTCATTGTGTCAAGGATTCCATTATGCTGTGGCTCAATCATGCCATAGTGATAGTGCACAGGGATTCATGAAATGGCAGTGTGGACATGGACAGTTCAAATGCCTGGACACCGGTGCTAAATATGTCTCACATGCCCCCCAAAATGTGGAAAATATAAGCTTAAGTTAACTATAACATCTAGGTTTATTCTTTCATTGATTTTTGTTTTAATCCTCACCCAAGGGTATGTATATTGATTTTAGAGAAAGAGAGGAAGGGGAGTAGAGACAGCAAGATGAAGAAAGAGAAACTTCGGGGTGAGAGAGAAACATTGATCTGTTGCCTCCCTTCAGGCCCCAAGCACCAACTGGGGATAAAACCTACAATCTAGGTAAGCGTTCTAACTGTTAACCTGAAACCTTTCAGTGAAGCAGATGATGTTCCAACCAACTGAGCGCCAGGCCAGAGCCCTCAATGATTCTTAGCTAACTCTAATAGGCAATAAGTTTTCTTCCTTCTTCCCTTCCTTCCTTCCTTTTCTTCTTCCTTCCTCCTTCCCTCCCTCCTCCCCTTTCCCTACATCTCTCCCTTTCTTCCTATCTATCTACCTACCTACCTATCTATCCATCATCTTCTAAACTGAGTTTTAGAAACTCCCAATATCCAGAATAATGTCCATCACAGTAAGTAATACTAAAAGGAGGGAGGGAGGGAGAAAGGAAGAAAGGAAAGAAAGAAGGGAGGAAGGAAAGGAGGGAGGTACACTTATAATGGCTGACAGTCATTTGATCTGGATTTACATATACACCATGCAATTAAATGAGAGCAGTGAAACATCTCATTGTAATTTGAACTAAACTGCTATTAAGATGAACATATCTCCTAATTTACTTTCTCTAGCTGGAGGGTAAAATGTTGATATATTCGCAGTGGTGATTATTTATAATATAGGCTTTGAAATTCTCAAATTTTATTAGATAGAATCTGTTTTTATTTGTTCATTTTAATAGGTAATCTAGGAAGTGGTTGGGAAATAAAAGAAAACCAAAATATACCTACAGTTAAATTTTAAAAAGTCATCTTCAGAACCTAAATTGGAGTTTTCACCTTTGGAGACTCTATGGAGTATTATCTTTTAATAAAGTGGATTGCCAGGAAGAAAGAGAAGAAGAAAACAAGGAAGCAAAGGAGAGGAGAGGAGGATGAAGGGGGGAGAGAAAGAGACCCTCCGGAACAAGTGTAACTTCAGAGCGGTTTTAGGGAAGTCTGTGTGTCCTTTGGACTGTGGCTTATATAACATAAATTTGCAAGAATTCTAATAAGAACATACTTGTCCTCCATCCTTAAAATTTCATGAATGCCTCTATAACATTAATTATAAAAAACTGTAAACTGATTTGGTGAGATTTAAATTCAGAGAAAAACTTGTTTCCAAACTTAGATAAAAATTCAAAGCTCAATTTTTCAAATTTTAAATGTTTTTTCATTTCTGTAGAGCTTTCAATTTATGTGAAATTGTTGTGTTCTCTCTTCTGAGTTCCACAACTCACCTATGGATTAAATTGACATTGTTAGCCCTGTTTTACAGATAACCAATTACAGGTGATTAAATGAATTAATTTAAAAATGAATTAGAACTGAAAATCAATATAGAGCAATAAATGAAAGAAACATGATAGATTTCATGGAAAATCTCTCTTTGGAATGTACTATGCAAATATTTCTTATTTATTCTGAAGGAGTCATTTGTACCAAACAATAAAATTAATTTGCCTACCCTTTCAATCTGTGGCTACTATAGGCAAAAAGAAAATGTTGCTATTCTTCACTGATAATAAGGAAACATGCATTCAAGATAATGAGAAATGGTTCTCTCACCTCCTAAATCTTCAGACTTGAGCACCACTGATCTAAAATAAACTATCTACCTATTAGACAGTTATCAATACACATGCCCACTTGCTATGAGGTTGTGTATAGCATTAAATCACGAAAAGTATCAAGTAGTAAAGCAAGTGAATGATGTCCCCAGAATGATGTTCTGCTTTCATCCCTGTCCCCAACTCCAATCCAGCAGAACTTCAAAGCCACCTACATCCGAATAAAAATGCAACTGTGAAGACTCAAAAAGCAAATAAGGTAAAATTTCCAGAAAACTGAGGAACTAGTAGGGAAGACAAATATTTGTTCACTGTGTACCTTCCTGGTATGAAATATCACTTATCCAAAGATATTTCCCACTCTTCAGACACAGAAACCGTTCCTTCCTATGCACTTGTTCGACAATTAGGTCATATCACCACACTCAGTATCCTGCATGATAGTTTTCTTTATGCTTCCTTCCATGATGTACTTAAAAGTAGTAAGACTTGACCTTGGTATTACTAGGGCCAATATAATGTCTAGTATATGGTACACACTGCATCAATATGTAATTAAGTAAAGGAATGAATGATTCACATTGGGGGAAACACAAATGTATTCACTGAATAGAGCCTAACCAGGATCAGGAAAAGAATTGGGACTACAGTCCAGGGACAGATCGAGGTGTTTCCTATATTTATGATCGATGATTTTTACTATTCATTCACTTTGTATGCATTCTCTGGAGTTATACAAGGGGGACCCCCCCCCAAAAAAGAAAACAGGAATTATCTTCTGGATGATGGGTCCCTTGTAGCATAGGCTTTCCTTGCTAGGTGAGTGTTCTAGGAACCCATCTGTTATCAGTGCACCAGATGGCACTGTGGTGAAGGGCTGTGTTCAACTTCAATGAACTTTTTTAAAGACTTTTTCAACACATGTACCCATTTCATGATGGGTGATTTACCGGCACACCTGCCTACACCATGTGATTGTTGAGCAGTTTTTGACCCAAAACAACATTACTCTCATACCCCAACCTCCCTATTCCCCCAATCTTATCCCAGTTACTTATTTGTGTTTCCCTAGATGTAAAAAGTCCTCAAAAAGAAATGTTTTGTCAATGTGGAAGAAGTGAAACAAAAAAATTGCAGAAGCACTAAAAGGCATCAAAATCAACAAGTTCAAAAACTGTTCTGAGCAGTGGAAAAAACAACTTGATAGATGTATTACATCAAATGGAGAGTACTGTGAAGTTGATTGAAATGTAAATATATAAGAATAAATGCACAATTTTTAATAAATAAATTTCAATTTTGGAGGTTACCCTCTCCTATATCTGTTAGGAAATACCATAGTAGTTATTTTTTATTGAATAAATAATCTAACGACTACAACATGCATGAAAGATTCATTTAAAATTGTATAAAACAATCTTTTCATTTCATTCTTTGCATACCAAAATAAGGATATCTGTATGGTTTTCACTCTATTATACCAGTTGTAAAATGTTTATAAAAATGTTCTGAAACCTGCTTCTTTGGATCAAAGCCAATGTCCATAAACTATATTTAACTGAATTCATTTCAGTGCAGGAACTCATTAACTGCTATCTAGGAGTTCAGGGTCTCCAGGTAGGTCACATATTCAGATCCAGTCCTGGGAAAATCACTCCACCTCTGAGTTCTTTTGTTTCCAAGCCAGTAGGATGACTGCTTGTAACCAGAAGACCTGGCATGTGTAGTCCTGCTCATAGCATTCTGTGTTGGTCTAACTCTACTTCAGGAATCTGTATATAAACTCTGCAGTGGTTTCAGTACTTGAAACAACCAGCAAATAAAGATCTTTCTTTCCCCTCAAAATGTATTGGGTCCTTTGATGTTTATATCCTATCAATGAGAATCCAGACATGAAAGTAAAAAATAAGAGGTAGAAGAGATGAGTCCTAGAATAATATGTACAGCAGACCTGAGGTAGGACAAACAGGAACCACATGCCAAAAGCCATCATCATGGTGAGATTGAGTTGGCCCCTCAGATACCCAGCTACTGGTGTCCATGCCTCTGATTTCTCTCCCTCTGACTACGGGTGAGACCTGTGATTGTATTCTAACTAGTAAAAAGTGGAAAAAGTGACAGGATGTCACTTCATGCTTATGTTATATAAGACTGTCTGTCTTACTAGCAGAATGGCTCTAAAGTCTCTCTTCCTTGCCAGCTGTAAAGAAGCAAGCTGATATTAAATAGAAACCCATGCTACAGGTAACTGCCAGTAGCCTCAAGGTGCAGAGGGCAGCCTCAATCCTAGGTTTCAAGGAGATGAAGTTGCCAATAACATGAGTTAGTTTGGAAACAAATTTATACCCAGTTGAGCCTCTGATGAGACTGCAGCCCCAGGCAGCAGCAGGATTGTAGCCCAGTAGAGTCCTGAAGCACTGAATCCAGTTATACTGTGTCTGGACTCCTGATCCAAGAAACCATGAAATAATAAAAGCACACTGTTTTATGTTGCTAAAGTGTTATGCATCAATAAATAATAAAAGCATGTTGTTTTATGCTATGATGAAGTGTTATGCATCAATAGATCACTAATACAACTGTGAATGTAGTTTTTGTCTTTTCATGTCTGCATTTTGTGTAGGGTGTTCATTAGTGCCTTACACTTAGGTAGTGCAATCATACTGATCCATTTTATTGCTTCTAGCAAAACAATAGATATAGCTGTTTTATTTCCAAAAAAGTCATACTCCTTTATTCTTCCAGAAAATTGAAATAAACCACACCTTAAAAATCGAATGAAAAACTTTCTGTTCTCAAAGTAACTTATTAGGTCTTTGGCCATTCTTTACATTTATGGACAACTAATACTGATAGTAACAAGTCTTAAATTTGTTCACTCTGTGATAAGTGTTATAGGGAATACATATATAAATAAGACATGGCTAGTACCCTAAAACAGGTTACAACTTTATTACACTAAGTTTTGATGTGTTATCAAAGTGAAAGAGTTTAAATTATGTATAGTACAGTATGCACCTTAAAGAATGATAGTTTTAGAACAGAGAAATATAAATTCATTTAGCAAAATAAAATTGCCTGTATGAACCCATCTATAACATCTTTATTTTTTTTAAGTTGGTTTATTTTTTTAAGATTTCATTTATTTATTTTTTTATAGACAAGAGAAGGGAAGGAGAAAGAGAGGGAAAGAAACATAAGTGTGTGGTTGGCTCTCACATGCACCCAACTGGGGACCCAGCCCACTACCCAGGCATGTGCCCTGACTGGGAATCAAACTGGTAACCCTTTGGTTCACAGGCCCATACTCAATTCATTGAACTACATCAGCCAGGGCAAAATGATGGTTCCTGATAAACGACCATGAGTCTTATGGATGGGAAATATTTCAGAAAATGGATTTATGGAAGAGAACATTCTATGGAAAAAAACAGTGAATAAAGGCTCTCAGAGGTAAAAATCAGGGGCATGTTCAAAGAACAAGGGATTTTGTCTTGACAGGCATCATAGC